ACAAAAATAAATAAATAAATAAAAAAGGTGGGAGGGAGTGGGAATAAGAAGTGAGGAAACTCCTAAAACACTACTTAGAGATGGGCCAGGACATGACCCTATCTTTGAAGATACTGATATTTAGCTTGTTATTTTAAGTCTAGGACTCTTACATAAACAGTGGTCATTTAACTCATTTTGTTTTAAATTATATTTTGGCACTGGATTAAACATTAATGTTGAAATTCAGAAACAGGCAACAGACTTGAGACTACTGATTGAATTCTGAGTATTTTTAATTCCTCAGTTTCTTAAAAATCTAAGCACAGTTTTTGTTTGATACAGATGATGTCTACCGAAGAAAAGCCTCAGAGAGACAGTATCAGAAAGGCCTGGATGACACATCTGAGACTGAACTTCAACAATCAATAAAATGAATATGAATTTTCACTAGTTTTTTTTCCTCAAGAATGTACTCTTACAGGGTGGGGTTGTGGCTCAGTGGTAGAGCACTTGCCTAGCATGTGTGAGGCACTGGGTCTGATTCACAGCACTGTATATAATAAAATAAAGGTCCATCAACAACTTATATTCCTCCTAAAACACCTACTTATCTATCCAATGAACCTAGTTCCTTTTTTTTTTTTGTACTGGGGATTGAACCCAGTGGTGCTTTGCCACTGAGCCACATTTACCCAAGCCCTTTTTATTTTGAGACAGGGTCTTGCTAAATTGCTGAGGCTGGCTTTGAACTTGTGATCTTCCTGCTTTAGCCTCCCCAAGCCACTGAGATTACATGCCTATGTCACTGCCTCTGGCAACCCGGCCCTTCTTGAGACTGGGTCTTGCTAAATTGTTGAGGCTTGTGATCTGCCTGCTTCAGCCTCCTGAGTAGGTGGGATTATTGGCATGTACCATAAAATGTTTTTCTACTTTCTTTTTTTGCAGTGCTGAGGATCAAACCCAGGGCCTTACACATGCTAGAGGAAAGTATTATCACTGAGCTACATCCCCTGACCCTGTGAAATATTTCTTGAATACAGCAACCAGGATGCTTTTCAGTACCGTTTGAAGTGTTTGTGAAACTCTTTGTTTTTTAAACAAAACAAAAAACCCAATTCCGCACCTCCAGGGGTGCGACTGATCTACATCCCTAGCCCTTTTCATTTTTTATTTTGAGATAGGGCTTCATGGAGTTGCTGAGACTAGCCTTGAACTTTTGATCCTCCTGCCTCAGCTTCTGGAGTTGCTGATTAAAGAGACCATGCTTGGTGGTAACCTTTCGTTGCAGAATTAAAATTAAGTCATGAACATAAAAGATCTTCATTGTTATGGTCACCTAAACTAGGAAAATTGTGCAGATTACATTTCTGTCTGCTACCAGCTTATAAACTCTTCAGGAGGGTAGTGGGATTTCCTGACACACTAATTCCTATTAGTGCTCTTGTGAACTCCCTTGCACAGGAGAGCAGGACTCCATGATTCATGCCCCTTGATGATCAAAGTGCTGTTGTTTCATTCAGCTGCTAAAGATAGAGAACTGCTCCCTCCCATAAGACAGGGAAACTACAGAGTTGAGCCAGATCAGAGGTGCAGTCTACTGAGTGAGAATATGGCAATGCCATCTAGCACAAGTTTGGGTCACTGGTGGAAGAAGCAAAGGCATATTTACATGCCTGGATAACTACATCCAATATCTTATCTTTGCAAATGAGAAAATACCTATATTCTAAAGAAGACTGAGTTTCAGAAGTTTCTAACTTTTGTGACAGAATAAAGAAGCTGATGCCAAGGGCCACAGGGAATAAAGTTAATTATCTCTGGCACAAATGTCTCCTGCATTTTTTTTTTAAGAGATTTTTTTCCTAGTCATACTCGTCATCTTATATTGGAACAAATGTTGGGTAAATAAAGAATCACTACTCAGATCTCATCACAGATTATCTACGAGTTCAGCATCTCCACTGGGAGGTGGCTTAAGTGTGAAGGCCAGTAATGACCAACACTATCAGGTAGAGTATTGCATACAATCCCCTACCCAGTTGTATCAGTGTGATGAACCTGACACTAGTGATTGAACTGCTGCATAAACTGTATGATTTTCAGCGACAAAGCCACAGCCACATTCTGTATTCCTTCTCACACACTTCCAGTTTTAGAAGTATATTTGATACATATAGAGAATATGTAACACTCAGTCTTTTATAAAGAACAATAAATGCCAATAAAACCATTCCTCAGCTTCTGTCTATAGTAATCCTTAACTGGCTTAACCCCTACTTTTTCCCCAGTCATTAGTTCTGTGCTGTTCTTCTCAAGGGTTTTCCTAGAGAAGTGACTTCCTGTTGGAGTAATTTATTTTATTGTGGTGTTGGGATTGAATCCAGGGGTGTTTTACCAGGAGCTACATCCCCACTTTTACTTATTTTGAGATAGCAAGATCTGAAGTAACTTATAAAGGATGCTAAGTGGCCATGCCTGGCTTTGAACTTGCAGTCCTCCTGCACCACACCCAACAGAATGCTGATTTATTATAGGAAAACAAACTTTGAAAATGCCAGGATAATGCCCAATTTCAAGGCAGGTAGACTAGTAAAGCAATGACTGTATTTAAGACCCATTTTCAGAGCACGTTACTTTGGATGCTATAAGAACTCACCTTTGTTGATCAAGATGCAAGCTTTTTACTCTTCAGCATTGGGGTGCTGGGGAGCAAACCCAGGGCCTTGTGCATAGGAAGCAAGCACTCACCTGAGCTACACCCCCAGTCACCCCAAAAAATCTTTTTAATACTCTTCCTAGGAATATCGACTCTACCCGACTTAAAGACATGTAAAACRAAAAGAAACCCAGTGTTCCTATATGCTGATTGTACAATGGTAGTATCCCCTAGTGTGTGAACTAGAAGGCCAAAAATTTTAAAAACTTATGTTTCAAACATTAAGAACTACAGTACTTTTTCTAGAATGATGAAAACCTAATAAGCATTTATTGCTAGAAATCTATCTCCACTGCTCTACTATGTTAAGGGGAAAAGATCATGAGTTTTAAAGCTTCACTTTATCATCTGAATTGATAAAAAAAAAAATAAGGTGAATGGTAAATTAAAAACGAGGGTTATTTTTGTCCATCTGGCAGTTCTATTTTGGAAGCCTTACCTAAATCTTTGATGTTTTGACTTAATCATCTTGGACCTCTTTTTTTTTGTACAAATTCTTCATACCTAGTTACCTCTCTTTTTTTCTATTTTGGTGGTACTGGGGATTGAACCCTGGGGCACTTTAACATTGAGTTACATCCCTAGTCCTTTTTATTTTTTTGAGACTGGGATTTGCTGTGTTGCTGAGGCTGGCCTCAAACTTGCAATGCCCTTGCCTCAGCAGCATCAGCTGCTGAGAACATAGGTGTGTGCCACTTTGTCCAGCTGAGCTACCTCTCTTGAGAAAAATTTAACTCTTGTACTATGGTGTTTTCTAAATCAATTTCTCTCCCAGTCAAGCAGTACCAGTACTTAGACTACATATATATTTTAAATTTGGAGTTTCTTGCCACATTTATGTGCAACCCCCAAGACACGAATACTACAAATACCCAAAATGGGAAAAAAGAACAGTCTTCGTTTGTTTAGTATTGAGTTTTCTTGCACTTAGCTGACCTGGCATACTTCTAAGCAAAAAAAAAAAAAAAAAGAGTAATATTTGAAACTCTTTGCTCACAGTGCTCAGCTGGGGTGTTTATACCTCAGTGATCTTTTGAAATATGCTCATGGTCACAGACGGGAGTCCACTCTATACTCAGAACAGAAGGGATACTGAGAGAATAGTTGATTTTTTTAGCCAATATTTTCTATTAAAAGCAGAGTCATATTTTTAGAACTTATAAACATTTTAAAGATATACCTGGGCCACTTTTCTCTGCTGACCACAAACAAGCTGCTAATAGTGGACACGCTTCTCTCACCTTCTGCTCTCAGAAACGTGCTCTTCAATTTCAATCTGCATTTCTGCCCATCCTGAGGAGTGCTAGGAATTCCTTGACTGCCAGCCAAAGGGTATGACATGGTATGGGGCACTTCATGCTGCAGTCTGAATACATCTGGCATCTCTGGAAATGCAGCCTGAACCCTGAACCAGGGGGTTGCATAATGACTTACACTTCCACTTGGCAGTCATATCCTCATTAGCATGAAATTGGGGCTTGCAGGATTGCTTTTCTTCAATCTGCTCAAAACTAACATGTGACACAGCTTTAACAGAACAACCAAACTTGGTTAATCCAAATCACTTTGCAAACTCCATTTTTATTTGGATTAAAAAGCTTTAAATGAACAAACATATGATACATACATGTTATAAGACTAGTAACCACTTAAACCTCAGATGATGATATGATACAGAAATTAGAATAAACCAAATTTTAATCAGGTCTGGAAAGGTTCAAGCTGAGAAGTTAATACCATCAATTTGGGGATTTTACACAAGTAACTGTCCTCCCCTCAATTCTTCCTCATCGGAAGAGGAGGGTGAGTTAAAAAAAAAAAAATCAATTAAAGGCCTTTTAAATCAGCTGACAAACATTCTATTTTAAATCTATAGGCCCCTCCCTCCAAATGAACAAAGTTCTTCTCCACAGGAACTTACATTTTAAAAACATTTAAGTCATTATACTTTCTAAGCCACATTACTACAGTTCCTAAAACTCATGGGAGAAAAGATGTACTGTTTACCTGTACTTTCTTATGTCAGGACTTTTTTATTTTTCTTTTTTGGAAGATGGTTCACCTCAAATCTTATATTCTAAATATTAACTGATATTCTCCAAGTTAGTACATAGAAAGACATGATTCTAAAATAAATAGTTTATTTTATTTTTAAACTTAATTAGGGCCTGCCTATTGGCACCCTGGGCTGGCTCTGCACTGCCTTAAGGAGCTCCTAAGGTACTGGGAAGGAGCCTGGAGGAGGAGCGCTCTGCTTCTAAGTGCCCCTGTGGCCCACAGTGAAGAGTTTTTAGAAGTTCCCCCCAAAAGTCTCATCCAGACCTTAAAAAGGGAAATAAAATGAATGTATGAAATAAATAAATAATTTAACCAAAATTAAGTTTCAGGTTCTTTGGTGTAATTCAAGGATGTCTAAAAAGAAAGAATCTGATTGCATTACACAGTCCATGATGATTCAATGGTCGAAATAACCAGGAATTGGAGATTTCTTTATCTGATTCAGTTTAACAATAAGGTACTGAAATACTACTGCAATACATTTTTTAAAATTCAAAATTATTTAAAATACTTGATGCAAACTGAGATCCAGTGGTTGACTAATGGCAATTAAATTACAAGGGCCTCCTTGTAATTATCTAGATACAACAGACTTTTTCCATTCTATAATCTTTTGCCCTCATGATTTATTAAGTATGGTAATTAAACATCTGGGTATTGATTCAGAGCAGATTAAAAGGAAAAAAGTACCCTCTGCAAGTCAATCTCTCAACTTACAAACAGCAGTGTGGAAGCTTCACCTTGACAATGCAACCATCCTGTTACAATAAAGCAGGTTTCAAAAACACACCACCAAGTGAAGTAATGTTCCATGTTTGCAGTTTCCTACCATCTAAGCAGCATATGCTGCCTCCAAATGTTTATTCTAGGGCCATATAAGAAAGACGAGGTCACCAAACCCAAGTGTTTGGGATCCATAATGGTCTCTTTAGTGAGCATTTTTCTTAAATTATGATTCCCTTCTCCTATAATTCAAAAGCACAAGCTAAATTGAAAAACATATTTTAGGAAGAAATAAATTTCTGATTGAGAATTACAACCCTGAAACTTAGAAGAAAAAAAAAATGCCACAACTGATAATAAAGAAACAATGACTATGAAACATTTGCAAGTGCAGGTAATCTACCGTATGTCACAATTATGCTCATGACACAGCTCAGATCCAATTACACACTTCCTTCTTTATGTTAAGTGTTATGCTTAAAAATAAATCACCTCCATGCATACCTCTATGCTTTCCTCAAGATGAACTTTGAAGTTTTCAATGTAATAGATTTGAAATTTCAAACACATCTAACATATATAGGCATAAGTTGCAAATTCATTAGAAACAGATCAAAAGTACCCTTAAACTTACCTGCCAAGACTAGATATAATTCAGGGCTATGAACATTTTCTGCAAAACCACTTGACACCATAGATGTCTAACTCGGCACAAGAAAAACTGCATTCCCTCCAGGAATTTGGGAGGCACACAGGCTGTGGGTGGACACACAACATTGACCACAGATTTCTATAGTGAGCCTCTGAGTTAACAGAGCAAATGTGCCATGTCTCTCAAACACCCATAATCTAAACAACCTTTCAAAGAAAGCACTTTACCTGTAAGAAACAGCTTTTTGGGAAAGTGGCTTAAGATATTCAGGCACATGAAACATATACAAACACGCTACCCTCTCTAAGATGTAAACTAGGACCAACTTCACATTTCATTGTCAACTTAAACTAATCTGTAAACTCTTGTGTTTTTTTTTTCATTTTTTCTTTTGTAAAAAACAAAACAAAACAAAACAAAAACCCCAAACAAAACAAAACAAAAACCCCCCAAAACCCCAAGCCAAGACAAAACCTTGGATGGTTTCAGTCCCATCGCAACAAGTAAAAAGATAAAACTCCAAGTCTACATACACAACCAATTATGAAACTGGTTTTAAACAAAGGAAACATATGCCAAAAAATCTTTGTGTATTTGATAAAGTCAACTTAATATAACAAAACCAAATTGAAATAGCTTATTAAAAGTGTCCTTATATAAAAATGGCCTTGTGATGTACAGTAAAATGCAATAAAAATCATTATCCTTTGTTCCTTCCCCCCACCCCCAGTAACTAAAATGGCTACTGTTCCACAACTCTTTATGCTTCTATAAAAAAAAAAAAAAAAAAAAAAAACAACAAAAAAAACATAATGATGTTACTAAACGTTTTCTAGGTTGTACGCTTGGCGAATGTTGAGGGTGTCTCGAAGCATCAAATCCCGTAGACGCCAGAGGGCATCTGCCATGGTGGTGTGGGCCCCTTTACTTTTGAGCCAGTGAGAGGGGAGGCGGCTCTCCTGTTCTTTTGACAAATGGACATCACGTCTTCGAGCTAAAAATTAAAGTGTAAAGAAAACAGAAAATGGAATTTTAAGGTAACAAAAAGTCTCTTGGTTCTAAAGGCTAAAAGGCTGATGGTTTATTACGCCACAAAACAAAAAATGTTTTTTATTTTTTTGTATAAGGGAATGAACCCAGGGGCATTTCTGAGCCATCTCACCAGCCCCCCTTTCTCTCTAATTTTGAGACAGGGTCTCGCCAAGTTGCTTAGGGCCTTGCTGAGTTACTGAGGCTGGCTTTGTAATCCTCCTGCCTCAGCTTCCTGAGCCACTGGGATTATAGGCATGTGCCACCATGCCTGGCCCACAAAACATTTAATACAAAAGTGCCTAAGAAGGTAAATATGTGAAGGGAAAAATCATACCTTCTATTCTTAAATTATCAAATTTGGTTTAAAATAAAGAATAAGTAGAAACTATGTACTGAAAATACATTAAGTCTATTGAAGTAACTTACAGACTAATGGGAACATGTTTTTGATGTTTTTCTTTTTAAAAATCTGCCATCTACACTAATGCCTGAAAGATAATTAATATACTTGAAAAGATAGTTGGGATGCTTATAAACAAAACTAAGCTTTGAAATTAGTTTAAAAACCCATTTTCAGAGTATGATGTCAATGTGTAAAAAGAAGTTCTAGGCCATTCTAAGACATAATTTATTGTACAGGTATAAGAAAAAGGGATGTCTGCTAGCTGGGCACAGTGGCAGACACCTGTAATCCCAGTGGCTTGAGAGGCTAAGGCAGGAGACTTGCAAGTTCAACACCAGCCTCAGCAACTTGGTGAGGCCCTGTCTCAAAGGGCTGGGGATGTGGTTCAGAAGCTAAGCGCCCTTGAGTTGAATCCTTGGTACTCCCCTATACCCCCCCAAAAAGGTGGAGGGTGTTTGTTAAGAGCTAACAGTATCATGAGGAGGAAGAACACACTTTGCAAAGGCTTATTTAGAAGGACTCTCCTTACCTGCTAGAGTTTGGTCCCATTTGCTAATGCTATTAGACTCAGCACTGAGTCCCTCAATGTATTTCAGGTAGGCCTCGGAGTGAAGAAGTCGCTGGGTCTTCGGTGGGGGAGCCACAAACATGGGTGTTGTTGGCTGTTGTATAACAGGAGGTCCAGTTGGATGTGGGCCAGGATATGGAGGTGGTGCCTGCTGTCCTGGAGGCCCCAAAACTCCCACCTGAAAGAATATGTGACCACATGGTGAGACAAAAAGATACTCTGCATTGTTGAGAAGGAAGATGTCTAGAAGTCTCTTGAGTCCTAGGAAAATCAAACTGGGGGCTCACCTGTTGTCCATATGGACTTCCACCTGGTGCTGGAGTCCCTACCATAGGGGCCACTCCTTGGTTCATCACACCTATAATTCAGAATGCAATGATACAATTAGAGGCTCTGGGTTGAAATGATGAAAAAAACTATTGTTTGATAAGAAATGATGTCATTTGATAATGCCAACCTATGCACCTCTGCCCTTGAGTGTGGATAGGAAACCTAAGTATCCAGAACAAGAGTCAAATAGAAAATCTGCATTCCTTAGTTTCTAGGTACCTAATGCACAATGCTAGTAGACCTTGTCAGATGTACATCCATTACTCATAGTTTAGAATTGATTTGAACATTGCATAAAATTCTAGTATTTCAGTAAGTGAGTTATAGTCAGAATACACCTCTATTTTTAAGGTACATTTCTTGCGACAACACATTATTCTCCAACTGCAGCCTGTGGAAATGGTATTGAAATCAGGCTCAGCAGTAAGCAAAGTGCTAACATAGGAGGGACATGATAGAAGAGATTGTGGAAGTAGTTAACTGGGCTTTGTAGAGGTTGGAGGTGCTGCCTTGCTGTCTCCTTGCAGACTATCAGCATCTAGTTCTAACTGGAGTCACTAATGCTAATGATAGAACAGTACTCTGAAAATGGATGATGTATTAGTGGAGTAGTCTTGCTGCTATTGCTTCAGATGCAAAATGACAAAAGAACAAAGACTTCATGACCCTACTATGTTTGTTCTGTCTCTGGTAATAATTAAACTTCCCTTGCTGAATGTTCACTAGTAATTGTTTGCTCTCAATTGTTAACAATGAGATATCCTAAATTTAGTGTCTGAGGCTATTTTTATCTATTCAGGTAAAATATAAAAATTGGCAAGGGACCCAGTTCATTAAAAACTAACAAACCGGGGCTGGGGATGTGGCTCAAGCGGTAGCGCGCTTGCCTGTCATGCGTGCGGCCCGGGTTCGATCCTCAGCACCACATACAAAGAAAGATGTTGTGTCTGCCGAAAACTAAAAAATAAATATTAAAAATTCTCTCTCTCTCAAAAAAAAAAAAAAAGAATCCATTAATTAAAAAAAAACAAAACAAAAACTAACAAACCACAACTAAAACCATGTTAAGCTGTTTTTAAAGTCCTGCTGGCTATGTAGAAGGAACTAACTTCAAAATCTATAGTTCCTCTGGATTAAAAATGCTGGCACTTCGATCAGGCAGAATCAACCCATTATTCTAAGGTTCAGAGTTGTTAAATGCCACTTCCAGGAAGTATAGGCATCCTCTTATATGTTAAGAGAAAAAAAAATCAAGTAAAAATCAAACTTCCATTTAAAAAGCAGGGATTTTTTATATTTCAAGTACTTAAGTGTACCTGGATCATCACAGTAGGATCCTGATGGTTATCTGTGAATGAATGAAGAGGTGGTGTTGGGTAAACTGCTGCTTCAGCAATATATTACTAGACCCGGCCCCTTTTCTAGGATACTCACCTACCTTAGACTCCACACATAAAGGGGCTCCCTAAGCTGCCTAAATCATTGCTTTGCAGGGCAGCACAAACAAATTAGCAAACCCCTCTTCTCCCTCTGTTTACAACTGCCATGCCAGGGGCAGCCAGTGACAATGTGAGCTGAGTGACCACAGGAATTCCCTGAATCCTGGGCTCCTAAAAGCCTGATTAGACATGTGCATGTACATACCAAGGGGGTTCTTTCCTGTCTCCCTCACTATAACCAGGGGTGTTGTGCTTCCTTCAAATGTGATTTAGAATCTGAAAGAGGGGATGGGAGAACAGGTATGCCCCACACCCACCAAAAGACAGCTCCTACCCAGGGCCTTAGACATGGCTTCCCATTGAGTACATACATCTAGAATGGACCAACTCCAACATGGTCTCATTGACTCAGATACCCTGTGCCAAGGTGAGAGGGCAGAGAATTAAGGCCAAGTCCACCCACCACACGGGTATACCTATTTTATGACTGACTCCTGCTGCCATAGCAATTCACGCAATAGGTCACCATTTCCAGAGAGAAACACCTACCTCCAAAAACATTTCCTCCTCTAGGAACATGTGGAAAAATACTTCAGTGGAGTTATAGCTGTTATCTAAGCAGTACTCACAAAGAGTGTGGCTGGAGGCTCCAGGTCAGGCCACCAGGTTTGTTAACCCAACACACTGCTGTATCTAACCTCTTCAGCATTGTTTGGACCCTGCAAAACTCTATGGTCTCTAGGTCCAAGACCTGGTATAAGCAAACCTGATAAGTTTCCAACCACATTTTATCTGGGTTGGGCTCTTACCCGATTATCTTAGATAATGGAGCAAATACTATTCCAAGTTATCTAAAGGCCACATTCCTTCTAATAGATTATAGCCAAGAGTCAGTTCTTTTGCATATGATAGCAATTAATATGAGAAGCTACAATTTTCCTTTTTCTTTAAAATAATCAGCTTGCTAATTCATTATAAAGTGAAACTAAATGTAGCAACTTCTGGGCTCCATTTATATACTATACATGTAAGAACTTCTGCTGACAGACAAATCAGTGTTTACTAGGGTGGGCTAGGCTGTTCTTTAAAAATGTTATGTCATGCTTCTTAAGGGACTCAGATACAGAAAATTAAATGCAAATTTATTTCCCTCCTTCCTTTTTGTTCCCAAGACTGTGAGGGGAGGATTTCTGAAGAGTATTTGGAACCCTACAATCCCCTTAGCAGGGTTGTTTGATGAGGAGATGAACTCTACACAGAAGACCATGTGAGGTAAGAATTGCACTAGATGAAAAAATGCATTCAGATGAAAAAAGCATTTTAATATGACCCTAAGCTAGCAATCTGGGAAACTTCATTCCCTGATCAGAGGGTGCAAGATTTCTAGGCTGGCTGGCTGGCTGGCTTTTTGGCATATGTTGTATTATTTGAGTATTTGTCCTGCCTCTTGGTCTGCTGAGTCTGGCTTTTGCCTTCTTGCACCCTGTGCTACTGTCAGGCAGCCAGGTCCACAAGGGCACAGGTGCTGTGCCACCTGCTTAACACGTTCTAGGCCCTGTTGCTGACAGCTCTGGGGTACTCAGTGAGGGAAGCCTGGCCATAGTGGGCAGCAGGTGTCTCCTGGAAGAACTGGCTGAGGGAGGAAAAAGAGAATACGAAGATGAGATTAATGAGTGAATGAGGATGAAGTTCTTACCCGGTGGTGGGATGCCCGGGAGGCCGGGCACACCTGGCGGAAGATGGTGGGGTGGAGGCCCCCCAGGGTGAAGTGGCTGCATGCTGCCCATGCTAACAAGGCCATCAACTGGGCCCTGCAAAGGTGGAAGGCCTGGCGGATAGCCACCCATCATGCCTTGAAGGACACAACAAATTTCAGACATGCATCATTAACATGCAACATGAGCTAAGTAATAACAACCCCCCACATGCACTATCAACGAATAAAGCACCCTTAGTACTGCATGATATAACAGTAATTAGTGTAATTATTTTGTTGCAATAATGAACAAAATAAAAAGCTACACATATGAAACCCCACATTTCTAGATGAATTAGTACTTAGTACATTATTGTTTGTAGTTATTTTCACTGGAATAAATATGCTGTTTTCACTTAAATAATAATGAAGAGGAGTTCCAGTAACAGCCTTCCCAAAGTCCAAATTACTGCAAGCTGTTCAAGGAGAGTGACCAGTTCTGCTGACTGCAACTCTAATTGAACAGTACATACCCCATCATTCCACTCTGTCCACACTCATATGCCTATCATGGGTACCCATGAGGAGAAATCAGAATGGAGGGAAATGAAGTGCAGAGTCCTGATCAGAAAGCATGGTTCTCCAGCTTGGGGGCAAGAATTTTTCAAGGCTTTTACATCTACTCCTTCTCCCTTCTAGCCCCACCACTGCAGGTAAGAATGAATTGTGCTAGGGTTTGAGCTGGGGAACAGTTTCTAAGAGCCATCACAATGAATGATATTTCATCTTTAGATCTCAAAACTTGTTTAAAAAAAAAAAAATCTAAATCCTCCCAAGCCAACCAAAGCTCGGGGGCACTCAGAAACCTACATGCAGAGGTACGGCTGGAGAATCAGGCTCTGCTGACATGAGAAAATGCCAATTGTCATCACTGTCTCCAAGCTCACAAATGTCGTCATATAAACCTTCAGTTAACAGGGAGCATTTTAATCAAGGTATAGAATTTCTGTTCACAGAGGCTTTTGTTCCTTTATTTTCAGAGCATACCTTCACAGAACAAATATCTTCTGCTGGCTAGGGAAGAGTTGCAGCAAACAAGTATTTTTGGCAAAAAGGGTGAAAATAAAATATTTTCAAATGTCAAGGACTCCCTATCAAAAAAACCTTTAAGATCACATAGCATTTTTTTAAAACAAGAAAAACAACTTGACTTTTCTGGGATTTGTAATGTTCATGATGAACAGAATTTTGAAAAGCTTCCCCTGAAGTGCAGTCACTTGATCATATCTTCTTGCAAAGGGAGAGTTAAGGGACTAGTGCCAAGCCTAGTTTTTATTCAATACTCTTTGTAGAGGCACTATGGGAAACAGTGGAAAACTCCAGATTCTGAGAATTTCATTCTGACTTTTCCTTAGGAATTATTCAAAAGTATTTATTTATAAAAAGTTCAGTCTTTTAAAGCTATGACATCACTGAAAATCCTGAGATTGACTACCTTGTTTCCTTAGTCATATATAAAACTGACTGAAAAACTTACAATTATACAAACCAATAAAACAAACTTAAAATAATATTTCTGTACATGAAACAGGACGAGTTTCATTTGTTAAAGAGTTCAGAGAGTAAAAAGTACTTTTGAATAGACGCCATCATCTAAATATGAGGAGATCCAATGCTACCAAACTGCCTTTAAACCACACCACAAGGTATAGTTTTTAGGGATAAGTAGGTGAGAAATTTAAGAATGTTAGGAGGCTTTGCTTTCAATTACAAAAGCCCATCTGAACGCAGCCTTCACAGGCTGTGATTGAAGATTAAGAACTGAAAGACATGACAATTGTCTTCATTAAACTGTACTTTGGCATTTATTATCCCAGTCACATGTGTTCAAATGAGCTTCAATGCTTGTAAGCAAAGCTGGTTTCAGACACTGACAAGGCTAAGACTCAGGCCCTCAGCAACCTGTAAACCCGTGAAAAATCACCCTCTTAGCTTCAAAGTTCCCACTGTGGACCAAAGACTGCTTACCATCCAGAATGCTTGCCCTTCACTCCCAACACCCAGAAGTCTGGGCAGCACACCCTTAATAATGGAGTCGGGGCTTTCTAGAGGGACCAAGGTTCTCACCCACAGAGCTCTATGATGTTATTCCCTAACAGGGAGCTAAAATGCTGCAGCTGCTGTTTTTTTTAAATGTTTTGAGCTGTTTGTATTCATTTTGTAAATATGTCCCTGGGTTTTGTAGTCAAGGGCACAGTGCCACAATATCACATCAAATAGAACAAAACAGGATGTCAATGAGGGAATTCTAACTTCCAAAGTCCCCATGTTCAAGGCCTGATTTATAAAAACTTCTGGAACCCCATTAACCAAAATGGGCCATGGAATAGAGCAGGCGATTATGAGATTTGTTAGATCAACATCAGTTACACTGAAAGTACTGACAGCCATGATTCAGATATGCTTTGGCGAGTGCAACTGCTGAGTTCAGCGACAGCGCATTTGAGAACTTGCCATCACAAAAGTTAGGAGCAACAATGGAAAAGTTATCCTATGCTACTCTTCCTTAAAAAGCAAAAACAAAAAAACAAAAATAAAGCAAAACAAAAACAGCATCTCAATGAACCTGCCTTGAACAACACTGTCTTGGGTTCCCTGTGAAAGAGTTCAGACTACTTGAGAAGAAACACAGGTGGCACATACAGATCTCACCAGACTTGGAGAGATCACAAAGGAGGGGCCCGAGAGGTGGTCTACAGGCTTCTCATTGGAGACATGTCAGACAAAGATATTCAATCAAGAATAGTCAGATTTGCTAAGGCTACCAGAACCAAAGACAACACACACAAGCAAACCACATTCATCATTTTCTTTTTGCTTTTGGTTTAAATATGTGACTGGGATACTAACAGAAAATGCAGTTTAATGTAATTAAATAGAAAAGCATTACAGAGTGGGCACAATGAATTGAATAAGGACTTTGTATTCTATTTAGCAGTCATGCACATTGGTGACCAAGAAAGGATTTACAATTCATTGTCAAAAATCCTTTTAAATGGTCAGCCTTTAAAGGATGGCTGCAGCAGAACAAGGCGAACTGAATACTGGCATGAGACAGAATATCAACACAACCTAAAGACTGGCTTTGTGTTTTCTCTTGGGAGTTCTCTAGAATATAACTTAGGGTCTATTTATATTTTCTACTGTAGTGTTCTATCAAGAACAGTCTAGGGTGAGAATATCACCAGACCATGCCCACAGCCAGGGAAGAGCTGCTCCCTACTAGGTCCCAGGGGTGGGCCCAGGGCCCATTTCTGGGGCACAGGGAAAGCATTGCCCATATGGGAAAGGCAATACAAGACAACATGGATGATTTCAAACTTTGAATCTGTCATGAGAAAAGGCTACAGACTGTGGCCTACTCCTCTTGGAGAAAAAAAAAAAATGAAGGAATTTCTTAAAGTGGAAAAAAAATGGTCTTAGCTCCTGTTTTTACCTGCAACAGGTGTCAACTGCTGATTGAGCATCCCCATTGGTGTTGGTGGTGGCACCACCCCCATGAGAGCCCCCACAGGGGTGCCTGCTCGGGGAGAAGCACTCGGCTGTTGTTGCTGTGCTGCTCGCTCTCTCTCCTGCTGCTCAGCAACTTTAGCTGCCCGCTCTGTAAAGGCATTTCAGATTTTCAATTCTGTTTTTAACCCAGGAATTCAAAATACCATCCATTGCATTCAACAGGACTAGTAAAAACACAGGCAACAGTTCTGTCTCAATGGAAGGAACAGTAGATGACTAGTCTCAACACAGGAGGAGTCGGGCCGATTTCACTTGGTAACCTAGAATCCAGCTTTCCTATCCCATCTTGAGAACTGGTCTGCAAAGATTTCAAGAATGTTAAGACTGCAACACACATTCAGAAAGCACAGATTTTATTTAAACACATCACCAGCGTAACCACCGTGGTTAATCTCACGAGGCACCCTGAAGATGAGAAGCGCTACCATTATTCTAGTATTAATAGCATTACAGATTATTTATAATTTCAACATGAAGCAATTCCATGGCCCATTATAATTTTTGGCACAATTGTTACTTACTATATTTTCCTGATTCCATTTTACTCAATTTTACTGAGATTGAGGACTCTTTATCATTAGTATCATAGGTTTAGCAGCTGAAGAAAATTAACTCTGTAAGGGAAAAGTAGCTTACTGCCTGTTTTAGGGAAAGTAAACAGCTGATTTCTATATTCTAATGAACCAAAGAGGTCACGCTTAATAAATCCCAGGGAGAAAAAAATGTATGATTCTCCAGGCTATGATAATCAGAAGCAGGTAATTAATATATAAATGTACGTAGCAATGGACGATGTTCTAAAAGAATCAGGTTTCCTGAAGCTGAGTAGTTCAAAGCTGACCATAAATCATCCTAAATCAGCAAGAATTACAGAATCCACAATGCAAGAGAAGTATTTGCCTGTGGTATTTCTGGGCTGGACTGTTACCTGTCCCCCTATCCCCCACTTCTCTGCATCTCCAGAGCCAGCAAACCCAACAGTCATGTTCCTATCCTTCCTGGAGAAGTAGTTCCAAAGTTCCCACCACACACAGTTTATTCTGTTTCACTATTCATAAATAGCAAATGCTCCCCACTCTTCAGATGGGCAAATGGAGGATGGGAGACAGGTAGTCACTTGTTCAAGGATACAGAGAACCAACAAACCATGACCCCCACCTCCTGATAATCACAGTCAACTGCCACATACTAATACTCCAAAACATGGAATTCAAAAGGATACTACTGATCTGAGGAGGGGAAAAGAGCTCAAGGTCATAAGGCTTTAAAGAGAAATTGAGAAGCAACAGCTCCAGTTTTCCTTTAGGGTAAAGAATGGGAAAGTCAAGCAAGTCAAAGGCCGCTGGCTGAGACAAGAGTTGCCTACAGAGACTTATTACCACTCACTAACACTCCCAATTTCACACACCCTCCGCAAACTGAGAACACCAGCATGAGGTTGATAAAGGCCATTTGAACAACCTATTTCCTTGAACTAGCAATAAAAAAAAACCATTGATGATCTACACCTCCATGTTAAATTCTAGTATTTTCATTATTCAAAGGACATGGTAAAATGGGAGAGCAAAATAAATAAACAACCAAACAAGCAAATAAATAAATAAATAAAATTTAAAAAGTTTGAAAAACAAATCCAGGCCTCTGCATCAAATATTGTGACTATCTGTTGGATCTCTGTGGGAGAAGTTCATTTGGGCTGTCCTGGAAAAAAAAGAATCATTACAACTAAGCCAGTCAAACTCCTAACTCTAGGTTTTGAGTTCATTGGGTGGGGAGACCAAAAGTTCAGAGTCTTAGGTAAGACTCATAGTCACATAACTCACCTGCACTAGGTTCTTCCTAAACTTGAGATCCCTATTTGAGTATAAGAGAACTTTCTAAAAGCCATCAATCTCTTCCTCCCTGCACCAGTGTTTCTACCTTTACATTATCTCCACATCTTATTCACACCTAAGTAACCAGTCACTCAGTCCTGGCTTTATTTGCCTTGGAACTGGTTTTATATCCATATTAGCTTAATTTCCAACACTCCTTCATCTTAGTGATGTACTTGGTCTTGATTTGCACTGAGGCAGAAATATCAAAGTTCTAGATTCTTACAGAACTCACTAGGATTTAAAGAATAGTTCTTCAGGATATTAATAGGTAGTACACAAATTCCTGGTCAAATTTCAGAAAATGCCAGATAATAAAAAACAGGATCTTTAGAGACTAACTTAGGAAAATGGTCTTAGAGACTAACTAGGAAAATGCACTTTAAGTTTCGAAGATAAAGAGCTTGGAATGTTGCTCAAATTGGTTTTGCCACAAAATGCTTTCTGATTATCTTGCAGGATTAGGCTTCTGCAGAAGATCCTTAAAGAAGCCTGCCAGTTAATTTTATAATAATCAATTGTCACAAACGAAAGGAACAAAACTTTTTTGAAGAGTTTCTTTGAAGACTCATAAACTTCAATAAAGAGGGCAGCCTTAACATTTAATTTATATTTGCTGGAGTTAGCCAAAAAGACTAATGTTTGATCATTACAAGAGGATGGCTCTAAACTATCAAAATTCTATATAAAATTCTAAATGGAAAAAAATATGGCTCAAAGGTACAAAGTCCTGCCTAACCTAATATTTAGTATTAATTTCTTTATCAAAGCCATGCCTAATATTAAAAACAATAATAATAACAAAACATCCAAAACACCAAAAATCTCTCTCAAATATTTGTTCCTAATGACTAAGAACCACCAAATCCTTGAATGATACATAGCTCACGGCTCAAAGTGATATAATTATAGAGTAAAAAGAAAATAAAGGCAGTGGAACTCAAAGAGATCCCAAATGCCTTAACGATAGCTATGAATACAGCACTGGTCACAAGTTGCCTAGCAAATTAAGTGCTTCAGTCAAGCCTTAGCGGAGAGTTTAAACATATCAAGAAACAGAAGATCACTGATTTCAAAAGTCCCCTTTTGGATGAATTTTAATCAAAATTATATTTAACATCATCATACAGTCATTCCCCAGCTCAACATATGTTGGGTGCTTACAGAGCTCAATGAAAGAAAATCATGCAATTTTTAATAGTAAAAATATTTTTTTTGAGAAATTTGGGGAGGGGACAATACTAGGATCAGCGGCCAAGTCAGGGGCAGCAATCTGCCTAGTCAGAACAAGACTGGCATCTATTCTGCTGGTTATCATCAGGAATAGTTCCCAATACAAGGTTCATGTGTGTGTGTGGCAAGAACAAGAGAGTAAAACCTGTCTATGCACGTGCATTCCTGAAAACACCCCCTTGCTTCAAAGGCTGAGACAGTTGCGCCTAGTCCCTATTTACCTTCATATTCTGCCTTCTTGGCTGTCTCAAGGTTTCTCCACTCTGTCCCCACCAGTCGGCTGAGCTCCCCAAAAGAGTAGTCTGGGTGCTGGGCCTTAATCACAGCTCTCATCTCACTGCTGAACAGGATGTAGCCACTCATGTTGATTTTCCGTTTGGAGCCTTCCTTCTTTGCACTGCCTTTGGCAGACTTTGGGGTAGACTGTAAGACAGAAAACTCTTATAGTGCATCAGAACATTGCATTTAATTAACCGCTCAAGAGTTTCTGGAAGCCAGGAACATGTGATCCAAAAGTTACTGTTTTATAGCACAGTTTGTAGCTGGCCATTTTCTTGGTCAAAACATACCTCTTTCTTGCCTCTTACCATGTAAGAAATAAATCAAAGTTTCACCGAATTCCATGACTGCAATCTCTAGTGATGACCTCATAATTAAGCTTGAGAAAATTCTGAATGAGAAAAAAATACCAACAGGAATCACCTCAGCCAAAGATGAGGTTCTAAGGAAGGAGAGATTTAAAAGATTTGGGCAGTGGGCTAGGCACAGTGGCATACGCCTGTAATCCCAGCTCCTCCAGAGGCCAAGGCAGGAAGATCAAGGGTTCCAGGTCAGTCTGGGCAACTCAGTGAGACCCTATATTAAATAAAACTGAAAAAGGGCTGAGTATGTATTACAGTGGTAGCATCTTTGCCTAGTGCATGAGTCTCTGAGTTCAATTCCCAGAACTGTAAACAAACAAAACCCAAAAGAATAAGAACAATGAAAGCTTAAGAGTAACAGGATGATACCATTCCTTTACTGCTTTTCTTTAATAGAAAGCAAGGAGAGCCTTCTAATTAAACTTGCTATTAAACAAGTTAAATAAAACTCAAAGAAGATTTAAATTATTGGGGCTGGGGATGTGGCTCAAGCGGTAGCGCGCTCGCCTGGCATGCGTGCGGCCCGGGTTTGATCCTCAGCACCACATA